ATCTGTAGTCAGTGAACTTCACCTGGTTAGCCTTTAACTTGGACAGCAAAAGTCGGATGATTTTAAGAAAAATGCAAAAAATGATCTGAAAGACAAGTGAGTGTATGATTATATCAGCATTTTACTTGTGTTTGATTCACATTTCCTTATAAGTATCTTTTTTGAGCAGGACTGAGTGGTAATTAAGTACTTATTTTTTTTTACTACTCTATATTTAATCAATTTATTTAATTTCACTTCACGTTTATTAACTGACAATGCACTAATTTTTTTTGAGCATGATTGGGTGTTGATGAAGTTTTGATTTTAGTATTTTTAATACCCTATGTTTCATCAAAATGTATTTAATTTGACTGAATTTTGATGCATGTTTATCTAGCAACTATTTAGTTGTTATTATTTAATACTCTAAATTGCATTAAAGGGGTCATCGGATGCAAAATTCACTTTTACATATTGTTTGAACTGAAAAGTGTACACAACCACCTTATAATGCTAAAAATCCCCCCAGTGCTTTTTTTTTTTTAAATCTCGATAAATCCAAACCCCTTCCTCATATCGAGCCGATCTCAGATTCTTGGCAGAATGATGTAGTTCTGCACAGGCCCCTCCCACGATTGTTGATTGACAGTGGCGTCAGTCTTTGGTTTTATCACAGTTCCGCCCTGAGTGTGCTGTCATCAGTCCACCATTGTATCGACTCCGGTGCAGGGTAAGACAAGAACATCACCGATTAAGCGATTGAGGTGTTCTGTTGTTAGATGTAATATTGAACCTAGCAGTCGTCATTTACTCCCGACATCTGAGCCGCTGAAGACGCAGTGGATTACTTTTGTTTCTGAAGGTGAATGCGCCCCGATCTGCCTAAATACATCTATGTTCGCTCGAATCATTCGTGATCCAGCTTTACCTACAGAAGAAGTGAGTTTTTGGGAAGGTTTTTATATGAATCTTTGCAAATCGCCTTTCCTAATAATGCGCTAGTTAGCAAGTTTCACAATGAATGTGGCTAAAGTTTACAGTCTCTCAGACAGCGGCTCGGAAGAGAGGGGCGGGGTCAGCAGAGCTAATTTGCATTTAAAGGAACATGCACTAAAACGGCTTGCTGTGAACGAATCTGTTTTTGACAGGGTGAAAAGGGTGTTGTTTTACACTACCATTGAGAAATTTTAACCAAGGTATGTTATAGACTTTTCATTAAGACCCTTAAGAATCATATCAAACTGTGGAAAATGGGCATCCCATGACCCCTTTAAATACACACAATTTATTACCAAATGATTTATGATTTTACATGTACATTTATTATGATGATCTGCCTCTGAATAATAAAGGGTTCAAACACATTTTGAACATTGCTTGTACAGAATCAGCAACGATGCAGAACGACCGGGTTGATCCGTTGTAACGGTCATGTTTTCCGGCTCGTTCCCATGAGCTTGTGACCAGCATGAGACGTGACACACGAGGAACGACTTCAACTACAGTGAAATCAGCATTACAGCATGACAGCAGAACAGATGTAAACCAACTAGCCCTCCTTTTCTCCTTCCACAGTCTTCATATTAAATATGGCATCAAAAGAAAACAACTACAAAAGAAAAACAAGCCATTTTAAATTAAATTCATACTCACAATGACTGATAATGTTATTGGGCCTCTAATTATCCACCAGATCCATGTGATGGTATATAACCAACAGCTTTAGAAAAAGGAAACATATTATTATTTATAATGCATTATATATCAATGATTTAAGTGTTACCGAATTTATTTGAACTATAGTTACAATTATTTATTAAGAAATATAATGTCATTATATAACATAAACAGTTATGTTTAGTTTTATATACTGTACATGAGAACTTTTTTGAAGATTACTGGAGCACATTTAACAAGAAAATGCAATTTCAGTCTTTCAACAGTTTAATTCAAAGTGTTTCTAAGTAATTATTTGTGAAATGTAATATTCATTTCTGAATGCAAATAGTTTCAAAATTAATCCTACACCATTTTTTCAGTGCATATCATTACCAAGAACATTTATTCCACCATAAAATACCAAATGATTTTCTGTATTACATTCAAAACATCTTTTTAAAGTGTCAATAAGAAGTAAAACAGGCACATACCTTTTATTTTCATACAAAATTTTGACAACAGTCCAGGGAATCACAAACAGTAATGGAGTACCTGAATGAGTTCATTGATAAAGCCGGAGAATGAATAAGTCATATTTAAATGTATGACATATTTTTAAAGAAAATAAAAAGGAAAGAGCATTTTTCTGTAGTAAAAACAAGCCTCACCCCATCCTATAATCATATATTTCTTAAGAAGTCTTTTCCTGGTCAGAACTGCAGTGAACAGCAGCGTGTGCAGGAATATCGCCTCCACTAACAGCCAGAAGTAATTACACCCAACAAAATATTCCAGCGACACCTTTGAGGCCTTGCAGAAGAATAACATCTGGAAAGTTGACATTTACAGTATATTACTGCATTTGTCTTGTCTTTTTTGTTTTTTGAAATAACATTCAGTAAGTTTTGTAGACTTGCTCAGATGTAATTCCTTGAAATAATTCCACACAACTAAAAAACAGACACATAAACAAATGCTTCTGTACCGTAGATTTTGTGTAGCTGTTCCAACCGATCTCATCCCTGGGCAGGTTGGTATACACGACTTGAAATATAACCTCTTTGATAATTACTGCTATTGCTCTAAATATGAATGATACAAAGAGATTCATGTGGATGTAGTTCCTCGTACAGTGAAGCTTCCTGAAAACAACAGGTAAAAATCATTTATTTCTTGGTCAGGGACAAATAAAATTAGGATATCAGATATCTGGAGCCAGCTCTGGGCTGGAACAGAATAAATGACCGGACAGGACAGAATGGAATCTATTTGATTAATGAAAACAAAGCTTGGAAATGTAAGTACAAAAATAAATCTAATTATGCAAGTACAGTGACAGAGAACATTGGCTAAATGTCAACATAGTGAACAGGATAGAATGTCTACATTCCAAATTATTCAATGGTTTGTCGTCATCTGTATGACTAATGGCACAGAATCCAGCATTAACCAGTGCGATTATGATTAAAGTGTTATGAGAAATAGTGAAGGAAACCCTTATTGCAAGCTATCTTAAAGTTACACTAAGAAACATAAGGGGACCAAACACCAAGCCCTGCAGAACACCGCTCACCTCAGAAGACTCATGATCAGAACAGCCAAGCAAAGAGAGGAAAATGACAGCGAGTATCCTACAATGGACAAGACTCTCAGCACAGACTGCCGAAACACTTCTTCTTCCTGTGTATGCAGGATACTATTGTAAAAATCATTCTGTGACGAAAATCATAGTTGTATGGTAACAATATTCACCTCGGACTTGAAAAAATAATGGTTTTCACACTCTGAATGATTTCTCCATAGGCTGCTGGAATTCTCCTCAGGTTTCCAGGTTCCGTTGGCCGTGCATTCCTTGTACGCGTTTCCAGTAGCACCTGATAATGACCACCATACATTTCTTATGTTTAAAGTGTTTAATTAGAAAATTGTACATTATCAGTCAAACATTTGGAATCATTAGGATTTTTTTATGTTTTTGAATGAAGTCTCTTCTGCTCATCAAGACTGCAATTGTGTACAGTAAAAACAGTGAAATATTATTATTAATTTAAAATTGTGAATAAATTGTAAAATGTAGTTTATTTCTGTTATCAAAGCTGAATTTTCAGCATCACTACTCCAGTCTTCAGTGTCTCGTGATCCTTCAGAAATCATCCTAATATGCTGACTTGGTGCTTCAGCTTTGCCATCACAGATCTACATTTTAAAATATATTACAATTCAAAAACAGGTATTTTATATGTTAATAATAATAATAATTCACAATATTACTGTTTTACTGTATCAAATAAATGCAGCCTTGGTGAGCAAAAGAGACTTCTTTTAAAAACATGAAAAAAACTTAGTATACATAATTGAATATATTAATAATAAATAAATTAATAATATATTATTCTATTTTTAGTTCAGAAAATAATGCTACATGATGCAATGATACAACTAACTTTTTAACTATAATACGACAAAAGTGTTAAACTAGAACAGAATAAGTGACCTTCTTTGATCCATGGTAAATAAGGAGGGCAGGGTACAGATACGATCCCAGGAGATGAGTGTGGCCAACAGGCAAAAACATCAAATGTTCCATTGCAGAAAATTCCTATAGGGTGATTTGCAAAAGAGACAGTATAATCTGTATGTGTGTGTGTGTGTGTGTGTGCGTGCGTGCATGTGTATATATACAGGTGCATCTCAATAAATTAGAATGTTGTGGAATAGTTCATTTATTTCAGTAATTCAACTCAAATTGGGAAACTTGTGTATTAAATAAATTCAATGCGCACAGACTGAAGTAGTTTAAGTCTTTGGTTCTTTTAATTGTGGTGATTTTAGCTCACATTTAACAAAAACCCACCAATTCACTATCTCAACAAATTAGAATATGGTGACATTCCAATCAGCTAATCAACTCAAAACACCTGCAAAGGTTTCCTGAGCCTTCAAAATGGTCTCTCAGTTTGGTTCACTAGGCTACACAATCATGGGGAAGACTGCTGATCTGACAGTTGTCCAGAAGACAATCATTGACACCCTTCACAAGGAGGGTAAGCCACAAACATTCATTGCCAAAGAAGCTGGCTGTTCACAGAGTGCTGTATCCAAGCATGTTAAATGAAAGTTGAGTGGAAGGAAAAAGTGTGAAAGAAAAAGATGCACAACCAACCGAGAAAACCGCAGCCTTATGAGGATTGTCAAGCAAAATCAATTCAAGAATTTGAGTGAACTTCACAAGGAATGGACTGAGGCTGGGGCCAAGGCATCAAGAGCCACAACACACAGACGTGTCAAGGAATTTGGCTACAGTTGTCGTATTCCTCTTGTTAAGCCACTCCTGAACCACAGACAACGTCAGAAGCGTCTTACCTGGACTAAAAAGAAGAAGAGCTGGACTGTTGCCCAGTGGTCCAAAGTCCTCTTTTCAGATGAGAGCAAGTTTTGTATTTCATTTGGAAACCAAGATCCTAGAGTCTGGAGGAAGGGTGGAGAAGCTCATAGCCCAAGTTGCTTGAAGTCCAGTGTTAAGTTTCCACAGTCTGTGATGATTTGGGGTGCAATGTCATCTGCTGGTGTTGGTCCATTGTGTTTTTTGAAAACCAACGTCACTGCACCCGTTTACCAAGAAATTTTGGAGCACTTCATGCTTCCTTCTGCTGACCAGCTTTTTGAAGATGCTGATTTCATTTTCCAGCAGGATTTGGCACCTGCCCACACTGCCAAAAGCACCAAAAGTTGGTTAAATGACCATGGTGTTGGTGTGCTTGACTGGCCAGCAAACTCACCAGACCTGAACCCCATAGAGAATCTATGGGGTATTGTCAAGAGGAAAATGAGAAACAAGAGACCAAAAAATGCAGATGAGCTGAAGGCCACTGTCAAAGAAACCTGGGCTTCCATACCACCTCAGCAGTGCCACAAACTGATCACCTCCATGCCACGCCGAATTGAGGCAGTAATTAAAGCACTCAGGTTTCCAGGTTCCGTTGGCCGTGCATTCCTTGTACGCGTTTCCAGTAGCACCTGATAATGACCACCATACATTTCTTATGTTTAAAGTGTTTAATTAGAAAATTGTACATTATCAGTCAAACATTTGGAATCATTAGGATTTTTTTATGTTTTTGAATGAAGTCTCTTCTGCTCATCAAGACTGCAATTGTGTACAGTAAAAACAGTGACATATTATTATTAATTTAAAATTGTGAATAAATTGTAAAATGTAGTTTATTTCTGTTATCAAAGCTGAATTTTCACCATCACTACTCCAGTCTTCAGTGTCTCGTGATCCTTCAGAAATCATCCTAATATGCTGACTTGGTGCTTCAGCTTTGCCATCACAGATCTACATTTTAAAATATATTACAATTCAAAAACAGGTATTTTATATGTTAATAATAATAATTCACAATATTACTGTTTTACTGTATCAAATAAATGCAGCCTTGGTGAGCAAAAGAGACTTCTTTTAAAAACATGAAAAAAACTTAGTATACATAATTGAATATATTAATAATAAATTAATTAATAATATATTATTCTATTTTTAGTTCAGAAAATAATGCTACATGATGCAATGATACAACTAACTTTTTAACTATAATACGACAAAAGTGTTAAACTAGAACAGAATAAGTGACCTTCTTTGATCCATGGTAAATAAGGAGGGCAGGGTACAGATACGATCCCAGGAGATGAGTGTGGCCAACAGGCAAAAACATCAAATGTTCCATTGCAGAAAATTCCTATAGGGTGATTTGCAAAAGAGACAGTATAATCTGTATGTGTGTGTGTGTGTGTGTGTCCATGACATTCTAATTTATTGAGATGCACCTGTATATATATATATATAGAGAGAGAGAGAGAGAAAGAGAGAGAGAAAGAAATATCTACACATTTTAACTGGTTTCACTCACCAGTTCCAGTAGGAAAAGTGGCTTTCAGGAGTCGTGTGCAGTTCTCTTGATATTCACCACGTTTATTGATCAGATCATCCAGCATGGAGCCCATGACCTTTTCAAAACCATAATACACGACATTTACTTGCTGGTAATGTGTGGATTTAGTGTGAGTATTGCACAATGAGTCATAATGAGATCTTAAGGTTATATTGGGCTGATGTAGATGTACGATTTATGGTACCTTTTCAAACACAAGATGGCAGTATATATAAATGTATAACTGTTCTCAGAGGAAAGGTCTGTCTCTCTTTTTTAGCAATAACTTTTCCAAGCTTTTAGTCACCAACTTTGCGTTTTTAGAAGTTTCTAATCTTGTTTTATTAGGACTCGATTAATCACACCACAGAGTGCTGTGTGCTTGCCATTGGAGGTGATATTAAACACATTTTCATTTCTGCTACAATGAACAGATAAATATTTACATTCTTCCTCATTTACAATGCCAACTCTTGAATATCAGTTGCTCGGATGCATTCTTGTTACTCATTTGCAGATACTCTGAATACTGGGTTTAATGTTTCTATGCTATATTAAGTAGGACTAATAAAACACTGCTAAAGATTTTACTATATTAACACAACTTATTAATATAAATAGAGTAGATCTATATTAAATAATATTTAAAGTGAGTAATATATTTAAAGGGTTAGTTCACACAAAAATGATAATTCTGCCATTAATTACTCACCCTCATGTCGTGTCAAACCAGTAAGACCTCTGTTCATCTTCGGAACACAAATTAAGATATTTTTGATGTAATCTGAGAGCTGTCTGACTCTCCCATAGACAGCAACGCAACTGAAATGTTCCCAAGTCCAGAAACAAAGCAAGGTGATCTGTAAAATAATCCATGTGACATCAGGGGTTCAACCGTAACTTTATGAAGCTACGAGAATACTTTTTGTGCGCAAAAGAAAGAAAAAAAGACTTTATTCAACAATTCATCTCCTCCGCATCACCCTAGTGCCATTTTGGAGAATATCCGCTGGATGCAAACAGCGTATGCTGTTCTCAGCTGCGCCACGCAGATACGCTGTTTCCGTTCAGATCAAATCACAACAACGTATGAAACAGATCCGGCGTGACGCAGCTGACGTTGTTTTACGTCCAGTGGATATTCTCCAAAATGGCACCAGGGGGTGCTAATGCGGAGGAGACGAATTGTTGAATAAAGTCGTTTTTTTCTTTTTCTTTTGTGCACAAAAAGCAACCCAGTCTCATAAAAATACGTACCTCTGGGTACTTTTCTGCAACACCGTTTTTACGTACCTTACTGCACGTTTCGCCGCAGTTTCAAAGAGAATTGTCCACTGAGTGGCGCTAAAACATGGGCTCAATACGTCAACCCTGGCACGTTTTTATTACGTTGATATAGGTATGTATTGCTGTGTTTTTATTACGTTTCTTCAGGTACGAATTGCAGTGATTCAGAATTCAAATATCCGGGGACTGTCGCTAAAAGTTAATGCTCTATCGTGTTGGAAATATGCCCTACACCAAACCCAACCCTAAACCTACCCGATAGTGTTAACAAATGCGAAACTGATATAAAAACGCATTTGTTGATGCAACCGTGTCATTTGAACTTCCTTATATGCAGATTTGAACTGTTTTGACGAACCGTAGTTACACGGGAGCTCCTCACCTCTCAAGTACGTCTCCGTACTCCGTGAGCTACCGAACAAACCTATCGTCTATGAAAACCCATTGATATGAAGCTGGATGTGTGCGGTGCTAACATTCAAAAGCATCAGTTTTCAAATCTCCCAGCATATAAAAATTCATCATAACATAATATTCTTCAAGTAATTGTGTGAAAATTACGCTTTATTAATCGAAACTCTGTAAATGTGTGAAAAGGAATAAAAGGTGTCGGAGTTTTACTGCCTCTAGTGTTCAATTCTTTTGGAAACTGCAGTGATATGTACTTATTGGTACGTATTTCGCGTCTCGCGAAAAAGTGCCCCCAGGTACGTTTTTGCCAGACAATAAGTATTCTCGTAGCTTCGTATAATTGCGGATGAACCACTGATGTCACATGGATTATTTTACAGATCTCCTTGCTACGTTTCTGGACTTGGGAACATTTCAGTTGCGTTGCTGTCTATGCAGGGTCAGACAGCTCTCAGATTCCATTCTAAATATCTTAAATTGTGTTCCAAAGATGAACGAAGGTCTTACGGGTTTGAAACGACATGAGGGTGAGTAATTAATGACAGACATTTTTGGGTGAACTAACCCTTTAAACCACAATTTTTTTATTAGAAAAACCAGTATGTTTTACAAGAACCATAATAATACTGTATTTGTATGAGGAACTGTATAACTACAAAAGCACTTTAAGCACATAAAAATGAGCACATTATAAATGACCACTATCCTGCTGATCTGACAATATGTGTACAAATAGCAGGATTTACTGGACAAGACCCTATTTTGAGGTTAAAAATCCTTTCTGTTTTATAATATGATTGCAAACCTGGTACTGCATATTCACTCAACTGATGTATCTGATTCAGCATAATCTGTTTAATTTGAAATATACGATTTACTCAGAACTTTCACCTAAATGTTAACAAATCATAGAAATATCATGTCTGCGCAGGCAGGGAGGGTTATAACCTTGTCCAATGTACTGTAATTCGACTGAGCTCACAAAGATTGCACAAAACTGTATATGCTGACATTTGACACAATTGTGAAAGTGACCAACATGCACACAGACACTTTTGCATTTTAGAGTGTTAATCTATCTTTTGTGCATTGGTTTAAACATTTCAATAATTCTATATTTAAAAAAAAAAAGCTTAAAATGAAATATGGCATCAGTTTTAATGTCAGTTTACAATAATTTGTACATTTCAAAACTACTAATTTTCCGTTGATAAGTGTGTGAAAAATATATCGGATTCCACAGTTAAACTGTTACCAAGTAAGCACTTGGCAATATTTTCATACAGGTTTTAATAGCAACTTGCAAAACTGTCCACCTTTTACAGGCTCTTTTATACCTTGCGCTGCATCGTAAATGTTTAAGAGACCTTTACACAAATCACATTCAGATTATCAAATCTGGAGCATATTTTGCAATGTTTCTCCAACATTGCCGAACTCTCTCTGTGCTAATCTCCAGAGATTCATGTCTGTCTCCGAAACTTTCAGGGTATGTGGATTTATATGAGAGCTTAGACAACAACATATGGGCAGAGATATGCCTAGGTATCCATTTATAATAATATCAAGATATAGCATTTGATATATGATACAAATTCGGTGCACAAACTATTTTTTACATAAAAAGTGCAAATTTTTTAAAAATAATAATTACAAAGAAACTGCAAGTAACACATTGAATTAAGCATGCAATATTGAAGTAGAAAAACTGAAATAATATTTTCTTGTAAAATGCATCTCGATAACGTCTGTAGAATTTAATGTTTACAACTTTGAAAAACTACTGCAAGCTACTTTTTAACTAATTATTAGGCCAGAAAACATTTGTATAGGATGTACTTTGAAACCTTTTTCACTCAGAAAGTGCTAGTTCATTTTACAAATAATTACAATAAATACATTTGAATTACATTTTGAAGTAGAAGTAAAAAGATCGTATAATCTTCAATAATTTTCTTTGAAAAATATTTTGCCATGATTACAGAATTCTTTTTTTATCCCATTAACTATCCTTATTTTTCAAGTTATTAACTGCACTACAACCAACTACACTAAAAAAAAGTGGTTGTAGGATTTACTTAGAAACAATTCTCACTCAGAAATTGCTAGTATATTTCACAAATAAAATTTACTCAACTGAAGTAAAGAATGAAACAGTATTTTCTTGTAAAACAAGTGTATTGACTGCAGTTTGCAAAGCTAAAAAGTATCAAATGAAACTTTTTCTAGACCCTTCTGGCAGTGATGTGCAGAGGCGTATGTGTGAATGTCACTGACTCACCTGACCGCTGTAGAGAAGCACAATAAGAATCCAGAGCTGAACTCTGAGCACCGCTCTTCTCCCCGCGAGCAACATGAACACGGCTCAGTATTCACCTGTCCAAGAACAGAGCTCCAGCACGTCACGCCGTGTCCCTCAGGCCACCGCAGCTCCTCTCAATCATAGCGTTTCCTGTCCTCACGCTGGATTTCCTGTTGATCGTCCGATGCAGCTGCTCTGGTCTGGATGAGAGCGGGAGCCTCAGAGTTCACAGACTCCGGTCCTTCTGTTGCCTAATCTCTGAATGAGAGCGTCTGCGCTGCTTCACTCAGTCCTGCTTCACTTCTGGCCCTTCCCAGCCAATCAAGATAAAGCAAGAGACCAGAACTTCACTGCTACGGCTTATGAAACACAAAGCAAACACGGATTTTAAAGAGAACAATTCAGTTACAGCATCTGAGCATTTTCATGCAGTTTCATATGTATTATTAGATCATCAAAACTGTAGGAATATGGGAGAGAAAGAAATATTGCACTCTAAAAAATGCTGGGTTAAATACAACCCAGTGCTGGGTAAAATAGGGACAAACCCAGCAATTGGGCTGTTTTGACCCAGCGGTTGCACCTTCTGGGTAGTAACCCAACTGCTGGGTCAAAACGTCCCAATTGCTGGGTTTGTCCCTATTTTACCCAGCACTGGGTTGTATTTAACCCAGCATTTTTTAAGAGTGTGGTCCGAGTAAGCTTCGTTTTAATACAGCCTGCAAAAATATAAAATGCAAGAACAAAAATGATTTCAAAAGGCTTTATAACTAGAATTAAAATAAATAAATAAAAAACTAACAAGTAACACGTTCCACGTAGGGCACAAAACAGGGCCTGAAATCAAAGTCATCTTTCCCCCCCCCCCAACATTTTCACATTTAGCACATTATTTCTGTTATTGTTACTATTATTAAAATAATAATATATTTTTTTATCCAAAGCATTTTTTATTCAACAACCAAAATAATAATAATACTAAATAAAAAGAAATAAAATAAAAGACCAGTAAAAAGAGGTGCTTAAACTTCAGGAAAAGTGATATAGTTAAATATTATACAAGCGGTTTTGTTTCCTATTTGGTTGAATTTTAACCCTGTTACTAAAATGTAGGAGACATTTTTTTTTAAACATACGATTAAACAAAAACGAATTAAAACAACTGCAACAATATGCCAGAAACGGTAACAAGGTTTCAAAATGTTAACTTATTAAGGGCATGTTTTGGGACCAAATGTTGGCTTGAAGCTGCAGATACATTTATATCTGCAATAAACTGAAGAAAAATATTAGTTTGATCATTTTCTCTTATAATAACAGAGCAACAGGACTGCAGTCAACACGAAATTTGTCAAAATATTAATAAAATGCATGAATAGGACATCAAGCCGTACCACATTTGTGAAAAGTACCAATCATAAATTTGCTTACATCCATCATCTAAAAGCCTCTGGGTTGGTCTTCAAACTAAACTCACCTTGTTATGTGCCAGCCATTTGTCAAATAAAACTAATAAATAACACCAGACGCCTCTGCTCTTATTGTGCCGCAGCCCAAGCTAATAGAAATGAACTTCACTAGACCTTCAGCACCATGGAAGCTCTTCACTCGTTAGGATAATTACGTGCCATAATGTACAATTATCCACTTTTAACACAGTCTACTAATAGGGATAGGAATTTAATGTTCTTCATTCAGGAAGTCAATTACGATACATTAACAAAATGGAAGTGAATTGACTGGGATGCATTAATGCAACATTCACATCATCATCAGACAAACGTACACATTTGCATATGCTTTTTTTTACTTTAACGACATGCACATTATGCATATATTAAAACATCAACATCTTCTACTATTAAGTTTAATATCTAAATCTCTTAATATATATTACTAATGCAATTCAAACCAATGGACAAAGAATTCAAGATAAAATGATACTTACATGTAAGAGCTCATCTAAAGTGACTACTGAGAATTTGAGGACCATCTTAAGCATCTTCTGATGTTCTGATCTTCAGATGATGACCCCTGTGAATTTGTCATTTTGAAACCTTATAGTTTAATGAAGACACTCTCTGCTCATGATGTGAATCGTTTGATTCTTAATTCCTGTGATAAAGTGTCCATCTGTATGAAAGTGAATCACGACTGCTGCATGCTGCTTTCCTGCGTTTGATGCTACGTGTCCCGCAGATGTAAACAAAATGGGCAACGAACTTGTGCAGTCTGACAGTCTGAAGCTGAAGTGAGTTCTCATGATCTCTCTCGCAGGGTTAAGATGAGCGACAGATATACAGAACAGAACAGATGATAAACAAATGTGCAGAAACAGCGAACTAACTCTTACATCACTGACGGCCGTGTTTAACACCAAGAGCTTCAAAAATAGCCAAATCAGAACTGCTATATGATATACACTACTGGTCAAACGCTCTTCTGCTAACTGAGGCTGTATTTATTTGATTCAAAATACAGTAAAAAGTGTGAAATATTTTTGCAGTTTAAAATAACCGTTTTCCATGTGAATATATGTTAAAATGTCATTTATCGCTGTGTTCAAAGTTGAATTTTCAGCATCATTCCTCCAGTCTTAAGTGTCAATTGATCCTTCAGAAATCATTCTAATATGCTGATTTGCTGCTCAAGAAAATTTCTGATTATTATCAATGTTGAAAACAGTCGTGCTGCCCAATATTTTTGTGGAAATGTTTATTTGTCAGGATTCTTTGATGAATAGAAAATTCAAAAGAACAGCATTTACTTGAAACGGAAATCTTTTGTAAAATTATAAATGTCTTTACTGACACTTTTGATCTGTGTAGTCTTTACTGAATGAGTGTTTATTTAATTAGGAAAACTCCTTATCCCAAACTTTTGAATATAAATGCATCACGGTTCTCACAAAAATATGAAGCTGTTTTCAACATTGATAATAATCAGAAATGTTTCTTGAGCAGCAAATCAGCATATTATACTGATTTCTGAAGATCATGTGACACTGAAGACTGGAGTAATGATGCTGAAAATGCAGCTTTGGTCACAGGAATAAATTATATTTTACAGCATATTCACATGGAAAACAGCTTTTTTCAATTGTAATAATATTTCACAATATTCCAAAGTTTTTGAGTGGTAGTGTATGCTTTCCAAAAGCACAGTAGCTCAGTGGAAAATAAATCACTATTTCATCAATACGTCTACTTACACTTAGCACTATATGTAAACGCAGGGGTTGCTGGTAGAGAGAGGGGAAGCACGTATAACAGCATGACTCGGACTCATAAATCTCTCGTGTTGGATTCCACATGACCTTGAGAGCCATTTTCCTGTTTTTTTTTCAGGCTATTTTATTTCCCATCTGGACATGACCAGGGCAACTATGCACATAGTGCTTGTGTGTTGACTTCAGGCACACGCCGTATGCTCATCTCCAGCACATCACAGTGATAAATGAGTGCATTAGCACCTATGAGGTGTGTGACGCTGTATGTAAACACTGAGCAGCGAGCATGCTAGCAACCACACCAACATAGTAACATTTCAACTTCAGAAAGACGACAATTAAATATCACTAATGAATCACCCAACTATCATAACACATAAAATGAAAGTGTTAGGTTTACTTCGCATTATATGAACATTTCACGCCACAGCTTTAATGTTAAAAAGCCATTCACTTAATGAGGCTAACGATAACTAATTTGCAAAAAGTCTACGACAACGGGAGTTTCTCCAGTAGTTTTCTCTTTTAAAACCAGCATTTGAAAGCTTGGTTACGCTTGTTTCACAATGCACATTTACCGCATTGACCCGAATATAAGACGATGCTTTTTTCTTGGAAATACATCTGAAAAAACGCTGTCGTCTTATATTCAGGGTCTAGACCAGGGGTGGCGAACGTCAGTCCTGGAGAGCCGCAGCCCTGCAGAGTTTTGCTTCAACCCTAATCAAACACACCTGAACAAGCTAATCAAGGTCTGAAGGGTTACTAGGAAGCTACAGGCAGGTGAGTTTTAATTAGGGTTGGAGCTGAACTCTGCAGGGCTGAGGCTCTCCAGGACTGGAGTTCGCCACCCCTGGTCTAGACTTTGACATGTCAATACACCCACAACAATAGGTGGTGCCAAATACGCATAAAACGAGTGTGCCATGAAATACGTAATGTAATGCGTGTTGTAAAGATCATGAGTAAAAACAAAAGAAAAAGAAAACCTTACAGCTGCATGAGTCGTGACTGTCACGTTAGCCTGATGGGACCAAACTCCCTTTGTGATTTTAAAACGTAAGACAGTACCCAGATTTGAAGACTACAGTAAGATTTAACTTCTACTGTTAATAAGATTTTGTTAGGCTACTATTAGATGGATAGCCTAAATGTCCTAATTCAGATGGGCTACCTGTTTTTGATTTTTTTATGGTATATCAAAAAGTGTATATTTTTTAAATGTGATTGTTGGTACATTTGACCAGTTTTTACCATACTTTCAAAACAAAAATTAAAATAGGAAAAATATGCAATATGAAAATAATTGAAGACAAAATGTGTTTTACTGAGTAAAAACAAGATTTGGTTTTTAAAAAGCCTTTTTCCAAAAGGTACATCGGGGAAAAGGGGGGTCATCTTATAATCAGGGTCGTCTTATATTCGGGCTAATACGGTACTTCGGCGCTCATATTACATGCGAGAAACATAAATTCAAGAAAAGTTCTGGCATTGCATAAGACTAATTGAAAAAGCACTATAAACCTGTTTTTTTCAGCAAAATATTTCACAATATAGGCTTTTATGAAGTAACGTAAAATATCGGAGCGAACTACTCACCCATTGTTTGAAAGAGACATCTGTTCTACATACAGCGACAGACACACAAACAGCACATTCTATTCAGTAAATCTGACTGAATCCAGTGATTTAAGCAGTTTATAACTGCACTTTGGAGTTTGGCATCCGTTCCATTGGCTGACTCTTGATAATCATGTTATTATTGATGGATGTTATAAGAGGAAAAAATAGATGTGGTAATCAAATCACTTTACTTTCTGCTTAAAGCCTCAGCTCTGTCGCATTTCACATTTTACTGATATAATGAACAGGATATATAGGGTACAACATGGCTAAAGGCCCACCTTAAGAAAAAATGTGCTATTCACTGCTCCTAAAATGTATAATTGCATTAATGGAGCAACATATTTTGTGTGAAAATAAATCATTCAAGTTGTTTATTTTGTTTAAAAATCTTATAAATGTATGAGGTGGCAAGAGGGGCCTGTTACCCCGCACACGGGGTAAAAGGCACAAGCTATTCATACAAATACTTCAGCTAAAATAATGTTTTTTTAATAATGTCCAAGTTAATACTTGTT